ATATATGATTTTCCACCCAAGTGCCACTTTTTTCCTCTAAACTGGGACCACAAGGGCGTTCACCAGGCAGAAAGAGCGGGTCTGGTTTCAGCACCAGGGACAGCTCCTGGTGCCTTTCAGAACCACGGAGAGCGTCTTTTCTCTCTCTCTCTCTAACACGCGATTCGCCTTTTATTCTCAGGTGTAAAGGTGCACCTGTGTCAGGCACACAGCAGCAGTTGAGGCCCTGCCCAACTAAAACATGATGATCAATTTTTAAAAAAGGATGGTTTTAGGCGGGAAAAGGGTTCATTTGTACAGGAAACAACAGGACAGAGCAGCAAGAATTGACAGATTTTTTTTTTTGTTATATGACGCATGTGGTGAAGTAAGTGTGGCAGATGCTTCTCTGTACYTATGTGTGTGCTCACCCCTGGGCTTGACGTAACACACACAAAGACCCCTTTATCCAGACGTGGTCTTGTTCTGTGCACAACTCAAAACAAAGACCCCTTCTGGACCACCAGTATCACACACCGCATGTATTTGCACTGTTCTGTTGAATTTGTGCAAAAAAAAGACAACATATAGTTTGTCTCAGCAGACTCACCTGTAGGAGCAAAATAAAACAGCCACACTTCTGTTAAAGAAAACTATGAAAATGTCTTCAAACAGTGTTAAAACAACCAAACGTGGGGTTGTTTTAAAGGCTTGATGAGTTGAATTGATTTAGAGTGTGGTGCTGAAAGTTGTTTGGAGCAAATACATGTGGTTTTTCTGGGGATCTCTTTGGATTAAAAAGTTCTAAATGCAGCAGAAATGTGATTTATCACACCTGTAACACCAGGTACAGCGAGAGACGGGTTTCTTTTACTAGCTTTAACGCAAACTTGAACACAATTTTCCCTCTCAGACGCATTTCGAACCAATCAAAGGAAGTTTGAATCATTGCAGATTTACACTGTTTGCGTTTTTGTTTATTTACACAGAAAAGTAAACACAAACTGTTGCGGCAACTTTTACTTTTATGATGCGTTCAGAGAAATGAAATGCTGAAATTGTGAAACACGTGACTTGAAAGAAACTGAGCAAGCTCAGTTAAGTTGTGAGGGGGAAAAAAAGCAAGAGTTTTACACTAAGARCTTCTGATATTGATTTGAAATGGGTCAGCTCTTTACTCTTTGGAGTAAATTGTTTTAAAGGTGTGGCCATCAAATGGTGTGTTTTGCAGCTGAGGTGAAACAGATCTTGGTGTGTAAAAACTTTAACACCACCTGGTCAGGGATCGCTGAGCCAGAGGCCAACAGGACTGTTAGTCGTATTCTGGTGGCTAAAGACTCAACAGAATCGGTTTCATTCGTGTTTCATCATCGCAGAGCTGCAATAATGTAAAAATCAAAGACACCACAGACCGAAGCTGTGACTAAAACAACGGACCACATCTTCACTTTCAGCTATAATCAGTCCCAGAAGTCTTTCTTTTTTCTTATACTTCAGAGAAAAAAAATATACTAACCTGGGCACTGTGAACAGTTTTYTATAAACTATGTACTATGTAGTTCACATTTTCAGTTTTACTTTGTTTAGACATYAAGCTAAAACAAACAGACAAAAGACATTTTRKYGYA